CTTTTGGTTTTCTAACTCTAAATCTTTGCATATTTTATTATATTATTTGGCTTTATCTTCTCGAGCTGATCTTTGAAATTTTCTGTTCAGCTCTTGGACCTCTTCAATTTTTCCATTTGCTTTAGTTAAATATATGGATACTATTCGTAAAAGCTCATTGAAACGTATTTATTAAATGTATGCATTTTATTGTTTGTAAGCTATACTTCATTAAAATTATAAATTTATACTAAGAAACCCTGGTGGTGTAACGGTTAAGTACTCTGTTAGTACCAAAAGGTTGGTGGTTACCAAACCCACTAGTCACTTTGTAGCTAAAAAGATGTTGTGATCTTGCTTTTATAAACATTGTTGTTGTTGTTGTTGTTATGTGCTGTGGAGTCAGTTCTGAGTCATTGTAACCCTGTACAGGGTGTCCGAGGCTGTAAATCTTTATGGGAGCAGAAAGCTTCATCTTTTTCCCATGGAACAGCTGGTAGTTTTGAATGGCTGACCTTAAGTTTCGCAGCCCTGTTCGTAACCACTACCAGGTGCCTATAATGTGTCTATAAACATTACAGCCTAGGAAACTATAGGCAGGTTTACTCTGTCATATATGGTCACTATGAGTTAGAATCAACTTGATAACACACAATAAAAAACAACAGCAAACTTAAACTTCTATAAAAAAGAAAGAAAGAAAAACCTGAAACAGGGCCTGAAACTGGTATTGTATGGTGTGGCGCTGTAGGATATGTCTTGGGATAAGATGAAAGGTCAGTGGTTCGAACTCACCAGCTGATCCTCAGAAACTCTACATAGCATCTCAATGAATCAGAACTGACTCCATGGCACATGTTGTTGTCAGGTGCCATCGAGTCGGAACCATGACACATAGCAGCAATGAAATAAGAAAGAGGTTATTTAACCTTTCTGTGCATCAGTTCTACTATATATTGAATAAAGGCATTATAATAGTTTTGTTGATTTCATTTTCCTTTGCATAAACATCTTGAAATAGAGGAAGACTCTCAGGCTCAAACGTAACAATTGTGAGGATGGTGCAAGACTGGGGAGTGTTTTGTTTTGTTGTGCATAGGGTCGCTATGAATGGAGGCCAACTCAATGGCACCAAATAACAATAGTAGGTTTGTTAATATTAAGTGAGTTCATGTTAACTGGTTAAGCATTCAATCAATTCTAGCTATAAGTACACATCTTGTAAGTTGTATTTTATAGCTTCACTGTTACTATTTCTCCTCCTTTGTTTTTTGTTTTTTTCCCCTTCTGGTGAGGGAATTGTCCCAATACAGCTTAATGATACAGATCAAAGTTCCAAAATGTCACAGTAACTTGGATTCCCATTATCTGGACTGTCATATATTTTGGCCAAGAAATAAGGAATTCAGTCTGAACAGAGATGATGATAAATGTCATATAGGACAAGAAAGGGAAGCTAGAGCAGGGTGAGCCTTCAATCTTAAACTGTCTTCCCACACCTTCCTAAATTTATAAGTTTCAGCTCAGCATCAGAAAATGCTTATCTATCCATTAATAGGTCAGAGGTCACCTTGAGAGTACCAATGGGAATCCAGTCATGAGTATGGCCCGCACCTCATCAGACTTTGTCCAACACTTGTTTCTAAAGGTTGTGATGGTCACAGAAATGCTGAACTCTACTATGCTGGCGATCAGTAGGATTGACAGAATTCCCTGTGAATAATGAAGAGAAAGAAATGGCATTTGACAGGAAAACATCATTGCAAAGACATAGATTAAGAACCTGTGACTAAACATGGGGAAACCCGCAGTTTTCTGTAACCATCCGAGGTTGCATACCTTTCACACTCTGTCTTTTTGATACAGCAAGAATAACAAGCTCCAATGCATTTAACATTCAGGCAATCATCCTAAATGAGTGAAACAGTTTGGGGGAAGGGTTGTTGTTGTTGTTGTTAAGTGCTGTCGAGTCGGTTCTGACCCATAGCGACCCTGTGCAGGGTTTCCGAGGGTGTAAATCTTTACGGGAGTAGAAAGTCTGATCTTTCTCACATGGAGCAGCTGGTAGTTTCGAACCGCTGACCTTAAGGTTCACAGCCTGATTCGTAACCACTATGCTACCAGAACATTCTTTTGGGGGAAGGGTGGCAGTAGGGAATAAAGACGTTCATAGGAAACATCCACTAATCATTCCAGCCAATTGTTGCCATGTAGAGAAAGAGACCACAGGATAGCTGATCTTTACATTTTTTTCCTCTCTTTCTGCTTATTTTTTCAAAGAAAGTTGGGTATACGTATTTTTAATGGTAGAAATGTCCAATTATTTACTCACCTATGTGAACCAAATAGACCATAGTTATAGATTACATTTAGTCCACAGTTTGTAATTTTTCACACTCTGCGTTAAGGCAGTGCTTACACTGAGAAACAACATGTGATTCAGAGATGCTCTGAATCTCAGCTTCTCCAATTGCAAAACAAAGACAACAAAAACCCTAGTAATATCTAACCTAGTAGGTTTTCTGTGTAGACGGTATTCTTTTTAAAATTTTTTTACTTTTTATTGTGCATTGGTTGACAGTTTACAGAGCAGACCATCGTTTTAGATTCAACAATTCAGATACATTTTATTTCATCTCATTGACTGCAATCCTTTCAATGTAACATTAGTTATCCCACTTTCTCCCTGTTTCCTGTTTCCATTCTTTCCCTTCTTTTCTAACCCTTCTAAACCTCATCCTGGGGTAAATGCTGCCCTTTCAATGTCAAAAGACTGATTATGGACCACATGAGCATTAGTTGCCACAACCTGAGATCAGAAGAATTAGATGGTGTCTGACTACTACTACCAGCTTCTCTGAAATGGATCACATTAGAAAATCTTGGAAAATGTGGGAAAAAAATGTGGAGGACAAATCAAAATCATAAAAAAGAGATCAGGCTTAGTGGTCAGAGATTGGTAGAATCCCTGAGACTATAATCCTTACTCATCCTTCAGGTCTAGAACTGAATTCACACCCCTGTGGCTCAAGTTTCAGTCAAACAACAGATAAGTCTATAACAGGAATAATAACACTAGTGAGGTACATACACCTTAGGATCATATGCTTTTAAAAACATAGCACCACGTCTGGCAATACGAAGCATGAATAAACATTAGTTTCCCTTTATTGATAGTTGTTAATGAGATTTCAGTTATCTGGTGGCACTGCCTCTGCAACACATCCAAAACTTGGATATTCTCCATTCATGAATTAAACTGAAATGCATGAAGTGTCCACTTTATGCAATTTACTGAATCTAACCATTGAATAGGTCCTGGCCTTTGTGAGGCTTACGTCTACTCTACACCTTCCATCCATGGTAACAAATAATGAAATAATGATTTACTTAATTAAATTGTGATAAATGCTGTGAAGAAGTATGTTGTTGTTGTTAAGTACCGTGGAGTCGGTTCCGACTCATAGTGACCCTACACAGGGTTTCTGAGGCTATAAATCTTTACAGGAGCAGAACGCCTCATCTTTCTCCCACAGAACTGCTGGTAGTTTTGAACTGCCGACCTTGAAGTTAGCAGCCCAATTCGTAACAACTACGCTACCAGAACTCCTTGTGAAGAAGAATAGTACAATACTATAAAGGGGATCTGACCAGGCCTTCAGGGGGGAGGGAAGTGGTGTGGTCAGGAAAAATCTCCTTAAACAAGTGATATTTGACCTGAGATTAAAGTTCAGGTGGAGTTAATTAGATAAGTAAAGAAGGGTAGGCACTGGGCTGGGGAGTGTCCTAAGCAGGAAGAAGCTGGCATTAAGATCCTAGGACAGTGGGTACTTGATACATTAAAAATTCCAGGAAGTGGTTGGAGTGAGAGGGAAGAAAGAGAAAGGTCTATGGTCATGCTAACGAGCTAGGTGCTATAGGGCTTTGCAAATCTTTTCAATTTAAAACCACACACCTAGGTTTAACAGACCACTACTCCTCTGTAAGTTTGTCCTACTGTGGTGGCTTGTGTGTCACCATGATGCTGAAAGCTATGCCACTTGTATTTTAGATACCAGCAGTGTCACTCATGGTAGACAAGTTTTCATGTGAGCTTCAGGATGAAGTCAGACTAGGAAGGAGAAACAGACTACTTCTGAATATTTAGTCATTGAAAACCTTATCAATACCAGTGGAACACTAGCCACACCAGAATATTGACTACTGAAACTTGAAGAAGAGCACCAGAATAATGTCAGCTATAATGCCAGAAGATGAGACCCTTAGGTTGGAAAGCACTCAAAATACGACTAGGGAAGAATTGCTTACTCAAAGTAGATTTAATAATGATGATGTGAGTGGAGTAAAGCCTTGAGGACCTTCATCTGATAATGGGGCACAATTCAAAATGAAGAGAAACAGGTGTAAATAACCATTAGTAATCAGAACATGTAATGTACAAAGGATGAATCTAGGAAAATTGGAAATGTCAAAAATGAAATGGAACTAAAAAATATTGACATCCTAGGCAAAGTCCACAAAAGCCAAAATATGACTTGAATTTATCCTACCTGAATTTAGAGATCATCTGAAGAGCAGATTTGATACATTAAACACTAAAGACCAAAGACCAGAGGAGTTGTGGGATGACATTAAGAACATCATACGCAAAGGCTTTCA